AGGGACCCTGCTTCTCCCTCTGACCCTCTTCCCTCTCGTGCTCTCTATCTCTCATTCTCTCTCTCTCAAATAAATAAATAAAATCTTCAAAAAAAAAAGTGCTGTTTGCATTATTTAAACAGTTCCTAAAAACTTTTGAGAAAAAAATTAAATAATATTAAAGTATTAGGTTTTATCCAAAATTTGCTGTCCTTAGTGTTAAGAATAGGATAAAATGAATACCCAACTCTGATAATCATTTAGCTAGGCTGTGATCTCTGAATTTTCTTAAAAAACATAACAAAAGTTCATAAATTCAGACTAATTGAGGGAAGGCTAATTTCAGAAAGCCAACAGTCAAAATTACTGAATTTTTAAGGAAAAGCTATTTTGTTTTAAATATAGTTTTTACCAGTGGTTCTCAAACTTTTTGGTGCAACTTTTGGTCTCAGGACCACTTTTATTAAACCTCTTGTTTATATGGATTATATATGGATATTACTATATTAGAAATTAAAACTAAGAAATGTTTAAAATATTTACTCATTTAAAAAAAAAATAATAAACTCATTACATGTTGTACTGGTCAGCTTTCTCCAGAGAAACATGACCAATAGGATGTGTATATATGGAGAGAAATTTAGTAGGAGGAATTAGCTCACAGTTATGGAGGCTAGCAAGTCCAAAATCTGCAATGTGGGCTGGCAGGCTGGAGTCCCAGGAAAGCTGATTATTGTAGAGATGAATTCTGACGGCACTCTGCAGAATTCCGTCTTGCTTGGTGAAGCTGGATTTTTGTTCCATTCAAGCCTTCAGCCGATTAGATGAGGTCCACTCACATTATGAAGAGCAATCTGCTTTACTCCAAGTTCACAGATTAAACATTAATCTTATCCAAAAACCATCACACATGTTAATATAAATATATTTTATACATAATAACAATATTTTCCAAAAGGAATTTAGTGACAGTGGGTTTGGTTTACATTTTTTGAAAAACTTTTTAATGTTTGGCTTTTGGGATCAAGCTCGAGTCTTATATCTGTTTCTGCATTCAATCTTCTGTGATACGTTGTTTGGGTTGAAATATACAAAAAAGTGCAACATCACATAGATATGTAATTGGAAAAGAAATAGTATTTTTTCAATATTCAGCCTTTTCAGATAACTGTAATTTCTTTTTTTAAGATTTTATTTATTTATTTGAGAGAGAGAGAATGAGAGATAGCACGAGAGGGAAGAGGGTCAGAGGGAGAAGCAGACTCCCCACTGAGCAGGAAGCGCAATGCGGGACTCGATCCCAGGACTCCAGGATCACGACCTGAGCTGAAGGCAGTCACTTAACCAACTGAGCCACCCAGGCGCCCAGATAACTGTAATTTTTTAAAAGCTAGCAATGTAGAATCTAAAACTTTATCAATGAACTTTTTGACTCCGTTACATTAAAATTGGCAATCAACATTGTTCTTGAATGGATTTTTTACTCAATCATGATTTAGTGACATCATGCATTGATCATTTCGAAAATATTAGTTCAATATTATAACTGAGTTATACAGGTATTCCCAATGTTTATGCACATAATTATAATATTTAAAAATCATAACAATATCACC